TCTCAACCTCGGTGAAGTGTTCTTTGGGCTCAATCAGCCAGGCGTCGCCCTCGTTGCCATTCGCATGACACAAGATAGAAATTATTGCTATACTTCGTTCCCTAATGGGTTCACGGACTTCAAAATGCCGGAACATTCATCAGTCGTGATGGATCGCAAAGCGAAACGTTCAGAGACAGATGTTGGAGGCAGATGTGCTCGTTTCTCGGAACACGTCCGTGCGCGCCAGGTCGCCATGCTCATGGGGCTCAACCCTTCAGTTCGAACGACATGGGTATCTGACCTGGCGAGTTTTGTGTCTGCACTTTTGCGCTTGGGTGCCGAACCGTCGGAGGGGAAGGATTTGGAAGTACTCTTGTTGATAATACACGACTTGTTGTACCGATATGGTCTATTCAGTTGTCACACAAACTTGTGACATCGAGGCCCCTGTCTTCCGACAAACGAATCTCCTGGACACACTTCTGGACCTCACGTACTTTTTGGACACACACCGCGGCACGTTTATCCTGGAGAACATGGGCTCACGTTGAGTACTCTGCAGCAAGAGGTTCAGGAGTGCTCACTGACTCTTGCTGTCGGATCTTTCAGCTCTTTCCTTGATATTCAAGTTGACGCGATCAAGAAGATATCAAATTACCCCCAATAATGACAAGCATCAAAAAGCGGTACAGGGAACATCGTTCGTGTACTTTAAGCGATAGCTGCCTTACAAAGGAAACGCTCAAGTCCTCTGACCGGTATGGTGTTGTTTCGACCTGATGTGTAAAGCTGCCTGAGGATGCGTTTATTGCTGTTCTGGAGAGCGCCTCAAAGACTGAGCTGGCGCAATGTTCGATCTGTGGGTGGTGTGCTGGTGACTCGTCTGGCTCGGGTGACCTGGACTTTGGTTCAGCTCTGTTTCGGGCGATAAAATGAGTGGGTGAAACACGCGACTTGAAGTCGATGACGGCTGTATTCATCGAAGTCAAGCATGTATAACAATGAAAATACCTTGATATTGATACATTCCTGTTGGTGAACCTCAATCAAAGCATCCATTAATTCAGCCCTAGACAAAGACCACCTCACAAACTTTTTACAGAGGCTAGATGGGGTCGTGAATTGCTCTTGATGTAATGCTAATACAGTGAAATATGCAGACAGTCTGATTCAAACTAAATTTGACCAACAAGTACGGTACGTCGGTAATATGAAGCAGAGTTGATCCGTTAATCACTTTCCGAATCGGAAAGACCGGAAGTAGGAAGCGGGTTCCGCGCTGGTCCACTTCCAAGTGGTCGAGCGGTGCTTGGGAGAGGAGTCGAGGTGGCAGTTGATTTCTTTGGTTGAGGTGGACGGATGGGCACACTGAGCGTCTCGTCGGTACTGCGGTTCTGAAAGTTGGGCAAATGGGTTGGAGGAGCTTCCTGTCAATCGTTCCAAATCGTCATGAACTCGAAATAAAGGAAAGGTTCACGGATAACAACGGAGTACTCACGCCCTCTTCGCCCTCGGTCTCCGACCCGTCGCTATTATGCGACGCTCCTAAAACAGGCACAGTCAGTGCGGGTCTCGATTCGACTGGGGATCCAGGTTCCGTGTCAGAATCAACATCCATGGGGTCATGCGAAGCGTGATCGTTAGCAACTGTGGGCGGGGGTGGCGCTTGAGGCTCCGGTGTCTGGGAAGGGATTGCCGTGGGGGCAACAGCATGGGGCGCAGGGGCAGGAGTGGGTAACGATACCGAGCTCAATGACGAGACACTTTTATGTCGGCTCTCGTCAAAGTCCCATCGACTGTACAGAGTTACTGACAGTCCATACACATTGCCAGAGTTGAGTCCGAGGTGGGTGAGGATGTCGGGCTGGATATAGAAAACGTTCGGTGCACAAACATGTGGGAAGCGCGACAGGACGAGCAACAGAAAAGACATTTCATACCTTAAACGAGTTGGCGCCTTCTATTCCTGCCCTCTGGAGCTCATTAAGCACCCTCGCAACTTCGCGCTTTCCGTCTTCGCCTGCACAGTTTTGAACATACACACAAATCAACCGGCCTCTATCGGTGCCGTCATTTGTGGCTACCTTGGCTGCCTTGCCAAGACGATTCGCGCAGGTGAGACGAACGATGCGAGACCATAAGTCGTCCACTTGTGCGTTCGTTGGGAAGAGCATCCACTTTCCGGACGACAGTCCGTTCGAGTGCGCGAGCTCCACACTAATCCGATGAACAGGTGTAACTCAAATTTATTGTGAAGAGTGTGAGCCGAAGCGATCGAAGGCTCACATGTGCTTCAGCATGGCCTTCGCGTCCGTCAGCTGCCCTCCACTTCGCTCCCTGGACCTTCGTTTCCAAGCCTCCAGGGCCGCGTGACAAGTCATCATAAGCACTTGAGTCTGTTCGGGCGATAGTCTGCCTTCAGGATCCCTCGTGACGTTTGGATTCCGGAAGTAGATCCAGTGACCACGAGATATGTAGGCTGAGTGGAGTTATAAGGCCAATCAGACCGATAGAAGGGGGAGACCGCGGTTATAATCAACGCACTTGTTGACGGTTTAAGTCTTTCGAGGAAGTCGTCGATTGATTCGTTCGGTTTTAGAGGAAGGAAGACGTTTCCAGGGAACGCGCCAAGAATAGGATCGCCTGATCTCATAGCGAGTGATTAGACATGCAAAGTGCGCGCCGAGCGAAGCCGTCAGGTCGAAGAGACGAACCGTTTGCATTGTGATTCAGAGACATGAACAAATTGGGGCAACCAGACAACCATAGGCACACCGCAGTTCAATTGAAGTGTGAATTTAGAAAGCTCTTCCATTTCAGAAAGCAAATTCTGCATCACGAAAGTATTAATGCCATATACGCTGCCAGCTTCCAATTCTCAACGTGTGGATGTTGGGTAAACATATTGCCCAACAACAGCTCCCCACCCATTCCCCACGCCCCTCTTCTTCACTCACAATTGGTGCGTCAACTACACCGAGTTTCTTCTAACAACCAGTCCGAAAGTCTCCCAGTACACATGGTTGACATCGGTGACCGGAAAGCAGCCACAAAGCGTCTTTTCGCTGCCATTATATTCCCTAACCCATCTGAAGTAGAGGGTAAGCTTGTGAGTCCTCGACAGGGTCCTTTCATCCAAGATCGCTGCGGAAAATTCATCATCACAAGAAAGGCGTTCACCCTCTTGGGTCAAGTCCAGAATGCAGAGCCCAGGTATTAAGTCCAGAATGTAGATCACCAGACTTGGGTAGATTTTGCTTGATTGGAATCCTCCAAGTGCAAGGGAAGAGACATTGGGGCAGAGGCGGAGGATGGCTCGTGTCATTTTGGCGTTCAAGCTTCTATTTGAGGGACTGATGCCGAGAGTTCTCAACTGTGACCCCCTTCTGCTTAAGACCATCTTAATGTCGCGCCAGGGGGTTGAGTTTGGACTGCAAGAGGAACAAGTGAGCGAGGTTTGGGAGAAACCCATATTGTGTTAGTAGGGCGAACACTTGGTCTCCTACTCTCCGCAAATACAAGCGTTTCAGATGGTTCTGTGGGAAATAACTTCAGATCTCCACGTCAACACCTGCGCAGTGCAATGACTTTAGGGTTTTCAGCACTTTGGAAAGAGTAATTCCTTCATCCAAGAACATCTTGCTCTGCTGGCACATCAGTTTCTCAAGAACCTCGCACCCAGCAAGAATACGATTGAGCCAATGAATACCAAACTCTGGAACGTTTTTGATATTCAACACCTTCAAAATGGGCAGTGTCGGCACCAAACAGGAAAGTACCAAATCGGGGATTCGCAGCTCAGAGTATCCAAGATTTATCGTGGGGGTAATTAGACATCTTACATTTTACTTGATCTCAGACGTTTTTTCATTTATTAGGTTGCGTCTGAGATCAAGAAAAATGTAAGATGTCTAATACCCCCCCTCCACTCAAAGCGGTTTGTCCAAATGACTTTAAGGCAGAAACTAGTGTGAAAGGGCATCGCGTGGAAAAGTGTCTGACGTGTTGTCAAAGAAAATCGTGACAGAAAGAGGTTGCAGACGCGACTTTGTTTCGCTGGGGTATCCATCAAACGCTGCAAGGCAGCCTGAGACAGTCTCTCCGTTCAGGTTCAGCGTCACGTTTCGCCACAAACATCGAAAGGCGGTTGGCTACCACCGTTTACTAATTGTTGACGTCACCCCATGAACTAATTCCTAGTTTTAGTTGGTTTCAGAAGGAAGAACTCACCATACGCGCGCACAGGATGCCTGCTCCTTGGTCGAGAGTATCTTGAAGATCTCTTTGACGAGTTCCGGAGTGAAGAGGGCTGTGGGGCGAGAGGCTGCTCCGCATAGCGAGGTGAACTTGTTGTTCATGAAGAACTGTGCGAGAGCTTGATTGTTCAAGGAAAGACTATCAAAAGAGTGAGCGGTTAGGAGCTTGGCGATTGTACACGAACCACTGCATGCGATGAAGTGTCAATCACCCACGTCGTTCAGGTTCTTCGCAACTCAGAAGCAGACAGTAGGGACCGATGGAGAACGGGCCGAGTGAAATCTCAGGGCCGTTTGAGTCAGGGATGGTGGATGTGAGAAATCGATGATGATGGATTTGAAGGAAACGCGATAACACAATTTATATTTTAGAGACGCCAAATTTTTACATAATCACTTCAACAGTTACATCACACCATGGCTACATTCATGGAGCTGCTGCTGCGAAGACTCGACTGATACGCCTACTTCATAGTGAGTCCGCCGCCACATAATGGGAAATATATCACGATGTTGACTTCAACCTGGCGCACGATTCGCGCTCCGTGGTCTCGGCAGGAGGCCACAAGCCGACACACTGAACGTTGATAATTCGAGTTTGGATACAATGAGGATTTTGACTTCGAGTTTGAAATGTTCAAGGGGCTCAGAAGTATTGGGAGTACAAAAGCTTTCCTTGAGGTCGAAGTGTAGTTGGGGCAAATACTTTCTTTTTACTTTTATTTATATACTATGTTTCTAAACACAATTCAACAACTACCATCTCCGGTAGTATAGTGGCTAGTATCGCCCCCTGTCACGGGGCAGACCCGGGTTCAATTCCCGGCCGGAGAGCAACAACAACCAATTA